TGCCCAAGGAGGCTGTGGATGCCCCATCCCTGCAGGCATTCAAGGCCAGGTTGGATGTGGCTCTGGGCAGCCTTTCATCCTTACAAACACAGTGCAGAGCATCGTTTTGCCTCCACATATACATGCTGCACACCAAAATAACACACTCTAAATACTACAAATTATCAGGAGCTGGATGTCACCAGGAATTCTGCCAAGGAAAATGTCAATTTGGTGCCCGTTACACAAAACAAAGGGACTTGTGATTCATCTATCACAAGATGGTACAACAGCAGCAACTCTGAGTCAGAGTCAATGAACAGGAACAGCACTGGCCTCTATCAAACACAGAGCAACAGAGGGCATCTCCAGCCCAGCACATATTTTCCAAACACGTTGTGCCACACAGAGCAGTGCTGTCACTGCAGAAATGTCACCTTTCTGCTTCTTCATGTGTTTGCTCTTTTCAGAGGATCATATAACCACAAAATCATTGAGGAGAAGCACTCCAAGATCACCAGCCCAACCCCAACCCATCGCACCATGCCCACTGCCCAAGTCCCTCAGTGCCACAACCCCACAGCACTGAAACACCCCAAGGGATGGTGACCCTCCCCAAACTCCCCAGGCAGCTGTGCCACTGCATCGCCACTCTTTGGGAAAGGGATTTTCCCTAAGGCCCTGACCCTCCCCTGGCACAACATGAGGCCATCACCTCTCATCCTATCACTGTTACTGAGGAGCAGAGGCTGAACCCCCCTCACCACAACCTCTTTCCAGGAGCTCTAGAGCCATGAGGTCTCCCCTGAGCTCCTCTGCTCCACCTTCCCCATCCCACAGAAACACAGAATGGCTTGGGTTGGAAGAGACCTCAAGGATCATGAAGCTCCAACCCCCTCCCACACGCAGGGCCACCAACCTCCACATTTCACAGCAGCCCAGGCTGTCCAGGGCCCCATCCAACCTGGCCTTGAACACCTCCAGGGATGGACGGGGCATCCACAGCCTCCCTGGGCAGCTGTTCCAGCACCTCACCACTCTCACAGCAAACAACTTCCCCCTGACATCCAACTGAAATCTGCCCTCCCTCAACTTCAGACCATTTCCCCTTGTCCTGCTGTTATCTACCCTTTCAAAGAGTTGTCACATCCCACTGTGCCCCAGACCCTTTTTCATCCTGTTTTAACAGCTCTCACCTGTTAATAGAGGTGTGAACTTTCACTGGGTTTCACTGCTTGTAAAGCACCACAAGGAGCTGATGTGCAGACTGTCTGAAAGCCAAGGGTGCATCGGTGTCACAGAACCACAGAATGGTTGGAGTTGGAAGAGACCCCTAAAGGCCATTGGGTCCCACTGCCAGCAATGCACAGAGACACATCAGTGGTGTCACATCAGCTCCATCAGTGCTCACAGCCCCATCCCCTGACCTCGGGTGTCTGCAGGGATGGGGCACCACCACCCCTCTGCTCAACCTGTGCCTCACTGCCCTTATTGTAATCAAGTTTTCCCTTACATCCAGTCTGCCCACTTACCTGACTAAGCAGTTGGGTGATGTATGTGACAAAGGCATTCCTGACTGCTGGCTACCATAGAACTGATGGAATAATTATAAAATCAGATTCTGCTTAAGCATGCATCAAAGCCTTTATGTTGAAAGACCTAAATTTTAAAAAGTCAAACTCGCAGGTAGTTTAATACAAGAACAGATAACAAACCACAGGGAGCAGGGGGGAACAGCTCTTGGAAGAGCCTGGTTGCACTCCAGCTGCAAACAACTGTGGTCCTTTTTCTATTTATGAAGCTTCCATTGTGTTTGGGGAACTCTTTCAGTCTGTAACATCACTGCTGTAAATTGTAAAACTGATGCTTCAGATGAGAATTAGAGAAATGCTGTGGGCAGGGAAGGTGGGGTTTGCTTTTCAAGCCTGAAGGTTCCTATATCAAAGAAGTAACATTTTGAAGTATGATTTAAATGAAGGATTTACTTCCAGCTTACTGAATAACAAGCACTGATACAATCTGAACGGTGTAAGGAGAAAATGGAAGGTATTCACAAATACAGACAGCCTGAGGAGTTCAAGCAGAAGGTGCACTGACTGCATCATAGATATGACCTATAGCAGCAACGTGGCCACCATATGGACTCCATAAGAAAAAGTTGCATGCTAAAGCCTCGCATCTTAACACATAAATCAGTGTATCAGATGCTCCAGCTGCACTGGAGACCCCAGACTTCAGGAGGAAGAAACAGAGATCACAAAGAAACCAGGACCTTGCCAGTACATCTCCTCCCACTCTAAACCCCAAGTATTTACCTTAATCCCACACCTTCTGTATCTCTTCATGAGTTCCTGATCTGTGAGATCACCCCTGCTTGCAGGAACACACTTCTTTCATGTCAATAGAAAACGAGTGGGAAAATCTGCTGACAGCTCTGGGCAAAGCCAAGACATAAAATCAGATGGATCACCCTCACTTCTGGCTCACAGATCACTTCCATGGCTGTCTGAGGGATGCCTTCCCTCCTCAGAAGTCATGCTGGGCCATTCCCACTTGGCCATATCCCAACATGAGTGCTGACTGTCCACCCACCTGGTGGGGAACTCACATTCCTTGGTGCATGACACAAGTGGTGCACCACACGTGCCCAGCCTCCATCCAGACACAGAAACACTGATCTCAACCCTTTGGATGCGACCAGCCAACCAGTTCTTGATGGATTAATGGTCTCAGGATCACTGCTTTGCAACATGTTTATCAGTGACACAGATGATGGTATGGAGTGCACCCTCAGCAAGTTTGCAGACAATACCAAGCTTGGCAGTGTGGTCGATACGCTGCAGGGAAGGGAAGCCATCCAGAGGGAGCTGGACAGGCTGGAAAAGTGGGCCCATGTGAACCTAATGAGGTTCAGTAAGGCCAAGTGCAGGGTGCTGCATCGGGTCGGGGCAGTGCCAGGTATTGATACAGACTGGGGGAAGATCTCCTGGAGAGCAGCCCTGCAGAGGAGGACCTGGGGGTGGACGAGAAGCTGGGCACGAGCCAGCAGTGTGAGCCTGCAGCCCGAAGGCCAACTGTGTGCTGGGCTACATGAAAAAGGGGTGGCCAGCAGGGACAGGGAGGTGATTGTCCCCCTCTGCTCGGCTCTTGTGAGGCCCCATCTGCAGTGCTGCATCCAGGCCTGGGGAACCCAGCACAGGAAGGACGTGGAGCTCTTGGAGCGGGTCCAGAGGAGGGCACTGAGATGTCAGAGGGCTGGAGCAGCTCTCCTGTGAGGAGAGGTTGAAGGAACTGGGCTTGTTGAGCTTGGAGAAGAGAAGGCTGCAGGGAGACCTCATTGTGGCCTTCAGTACTTGAAGGGAGTGGATAAACAGGAGGGGGAACGGCTGTTTGTGAGGTGGATGGTGATAGGACAAGGGGGAATGGTTGTAAAGTGAGCCAGGGGAGGTTTAGGTTGGATTTGAGGAGGAAGTTTTTGAGCCAGAGGGTGGTGAGGCACTGGAACAGGTTGCCCAAGGAGCCTGTGGATGCCCCATCCCTGCAGGCATTCAAGGCCAGGCTGGATGTGGCTCTGGGCAGCCTGGGCTGCTGGTTGGCGACCTGCACACAGCAGGGGGTTGGAACTGGGTGAGCATTGTGCTCCTTTGCACCCCAGGCCATTCTATCATTCTATAATAACTCAGTCCTATTTCACAGCTGGGACACACCTATCCTAAATGCACTCAGCAGACATCCCAGCACCACCCCTTGCCTCAGACTCGCTCTCTCCTTCACCCCAAAGCACGCCCTGCTGCATGTTGGTCTGTGTGTTCCTACACAGGAACAAGAGTGCCAAAACCAAACACTAAGATCTTCATTAAGAACCCAGCTCCTTACCCGACTAGAGGTATGACTACTACAGATACTTGAAAAAAGATGCAGAAAAAGAATAAACAACAACAGCACACGTGCAGAGGGATGGCAGTGCTATGACTCAGTTTGCCATTACTGTATTTTTCAGTCCCTGGTCTTCCAGCTTTCTGATTTAAGGACACGTTCAATGGATATGCTGGGGACAGGCTGGGGTTGGACATGGGGACCGTGGAGGTCTTTTCCAACCTTAACCATTCTGTGATTCCATAATGCTAATTCAGTTACCTGGATTTCAGATCCATACATTTCTTCTTCCAGCATACAAAAGCTGCATTATTAACACAGTGATTTGTCACAACCTGCAGCCTTTGTCCCAGCTGAGAAAGTCTACCCAAAAGCTGCAGCTCAGGAAGGTGTTAAATTCTTTGATAAAGCCATTTTAAATGCAAATTACAAAGGAGTAAGTTGCTGTGCATAATTGCATCACCTTGAAATAGTTCACAGATAGCAAGTCCATTTAAGCTTTGAAAATGTCAGTGCATGGAATGCAACGACATAAAGTCTCAATTAGCTTTATGTAACTGGTACTACCAATTTTACAATTACTCTCAATCACCTCAGTTATAAAAATACAGTATACTTCAGTAAATCTAAGATGGTGTGAAAAACCTGCGAGTGATTGTATGTGAATTTCTTTAGCATGCCAGCTCCCAGGAGTCCAAGCACCTGCTCAGCTGGGCACAGCAAGCTGCCAGGAGTAGGAACAGCCACAGTGATGTGACACTCTCTGAGCATCATGCTTTCAAAACAACAAATTCAACAGCCAAGTGTCCATCAGCTCCACCAGAAAGAAGAACTTTGATCAGACAGACACAAAACCCAGCAATGGAATATGCCACTGAAGAAGTGAAATGAGGAAATCCAAGTCTGAGTTTTAAAAACCTGATTCCTTTATTTGAGCTTAGGCAGCTGCTTAGCTTTGGTACTTGATTACTGTTTCCAAGACTACTGCACACCACCACAGGACCCATGGCACTGCACACAGCTGGTGCAGTATTTGGAAAAGCCAGCAGTGTTGTTGCAAGGCAACACTGGGTTTTGTACATCCTTAATTTTCTTGTCCAGATTTTTGCACATCCCATCTCAAAAACACAACTGAGCTCTCTTACCTTCATAATGTTCACCAAGTCTGTTTGGTAGTAGCGGTCTTGGTGTGCATTAGCAGCTGCTAGAGTGAGAAGATAATCATTCCTTGCATGGATAGCCTTCGAATTGCACTCCGACCGTCGTGCTTTTAACTGCAACAAGAATCAGAAGTTAAAGGACAGGTACTAAGACAAGTGAATGACTGAAAAAGTATTAACAGTAAATTAAGATGTGTATATATGTATACTAATATAGCAAAAATGTAAAAGGATTAACAGCTTAATACTGGTAATGGGAAAGGGATTTCATTTTTGTTTCTCTCATCCAGTTTAACATTTCATAGAATCACAGAATGGCTTGGGTTGGAAGGGACCTCAAGGATCACGAAGCTCCAACCCCCACCACACACAGGGCCACCAACCTCCACATTTCAGAGCAGCCCAGGCTGCCCAGGGCCCCATCCAACCTGGCCTTGAACACCTCCAGGGATGGACGGGGCATCCACAGCCTCTCTGGGCAGCTGTTCCAGCACCTCACCACTCTCACAGCAAACAACTTCCCCCTGACATCCAACTGAAATCTGCCCTCCCTCAACTTCAAACCATTTCCCTTGTCCTGCTGTCATCTCCCCTTTCCAAGAGCTGACTCCCTTCCTGTTTGTAGGCTCCCTTTAGGACCTGGAAGGCTGCAATGATTCACCCTGCAGCCTTCTCTTCTCCATGCTGAACAAGCCCAGCTCCCTCAGCCTGTCTTTGTAGTGGAGGTGCTGCAGTCCCCTGCTCATCTTTGTGGCTCCTCTGGACCCTCTCCAACAGCTCCCTGTCTTTCTTGTACTGGGGGCTCCACATCTCAACGTAGTACTGCAAATAGGACCTCACAGGAGCAGAGTAGAGAGGGACAATCACCTCCCTGTCCCTGCTGGCCACCCCTCTTTTGATGGAGCTCATTCAAACATGGCTCTCAAGCCACCATTTCACACGTGGTCCTTAAAGCACAGTTATTACTCCCCTGGAAGAAAACTTGTACATTTGGCCATATGTAATCCTGCAGTGAGTACTTGAAAGCTCCATGCCTGGCAAAACAGCTTCAAAACACTTTGATAGTAAATAAGAACTCACCTTTACACTTGCCTTTTGCAAGCTTATCCTTGACTGAAAAAGACTAAGTTTGGACCTGAAAACAACAAAAAAAGCCAAGAGATTAGAGTTTCACATCTTTCCTACAAAAGCAAGGCCAAACAGGCCGCTGCATCCAAAGCTGTGCTGGTGCAGTTTCACAAACAGCTTCATCTGAGAACAACGCAGGACATCTTTTTAATAAATAAAAGAGAGCAAGTTGCAAGCAATGGTGAGGCAAACTCCCATGGCACAAACCAAGCTCTAAACATGAGCTGCTTGCTCTCCTGAAGCAAGAGGAATCGACCTCCAGCGCACAACAAGGAACATAATGACAAAGCCTCAACTTTTTGTCTTCAACAGTGGGAAATGGTGCCCATCCCCACTCCTCCTCCAAAACGAGGTAAGAAAATGAATTGGCATAAGCTTATTGAAAGCAATTATCTTTCTTCTAAACGAATATCGGGTGTAAAGACGAACACAAAGATAACTCTGGTTTATACACATGCAATTATTTATACATATGCTATTATAAAAACATACTTGGCCTCGATATCAGCTTTCTCCCGCACCGCTTGAGCCATCTGTTCAGTCTCAAAATATTTCTTTTTGCCTTTAGCTAAATCTTTTACTGTCTCTTGTAACTCCGCTTGGATCCGTGTCAGCTGGTCCACGTACTGAAAGAAATTGTTCAGGAAACAAAACATGAGCATTGCTTGCATGCAAATACCACTGTCACCATTTTACTGCTCTTCATTACATTGCGTGCTGCACAAGGCAGTCTCCAAGTCAATCCTGGTCCATTATCTGTGCCTTTCTTTTCAAGCCAATCTGAACATCAAATCATATTCCTTTGCTTCAACTGCTGTTTAACTACCCAAATTCAATGAGAACTCACAAATTAAACATAAAAGTTCTGAAAGCTTTTGATGAGATAATTGGTTGAAATGACTGGAATACAATGGGGAAAAATCCAAAGGCAATTCACCAGAGGTGAGATGAGAAACACTCACTCTTTTCTTCTCTAATATCTATAATGAAACACAAAGCTTAATGTGGAGAAGAGAACAGCACAATAGAACCAAGAACAACTTGACATTATTGAGCTCTGATTGGGTTCTATCAGAAATCAGTGTCATACAAAAAGAAAATCTTTGGGCCACTGAAGAGGTAAAAAATAATTCACACACACAGCTGCCATTCTGTCCTTCCAAGAGCAGCCCAAGGTCCCACCTCTACCACACTGCCCTGGCCCCTCCATGGGCAAACTGCTTTTTTTGGAGATCTTTGAGTGTAGGGGAGGAAAATGAAAGGTAGACCAACCTGCATCTATTGCACAGAGGAAATCATTTAAATAGGAGTGGGGTTTTGCTACATCAATCAATAGTTGGATCTCTTAAGCTTCCTGCTGGCATCCAAAAATTAAAATATCAGATAGCCCCAGTTGGTAACGTTGCTGGTTGGAAAACATCCCATCACAGAATGACAGAATGGCCTGGGTTGCAAAGGAGCACAATGCTCACCCAGTTCCAACCCCCTGCTGTGTGCAGGTCGCCAACCAGCAGCCCAGGCTGCCCAGAGCCACATCCAGCCTGGCTTTGAATGCCTGCAGGGATGGGGCATCCACAGCCTCCTTGGGCAACCTGTTCCAGTGCCTCACCGCCCTCTGGCTGAAAAACTTCCTCCTCATATCCAACCTGAACCTCTCCTGCCTCACTTGAAAACCATTCCCCCTTGTCCTACCACTATCTATCCTTGTAAGCAGCCTCATCTGACCTATTTATAAGCTCCCTTAGAGTACTGGAAGGCCACAATGAGGTCTCCCTGCAGCCTTCTCTTCTCCAAGCACAACAAGCCCAGTTCCCTCAACCTTTCCTCATAGGAGAGCTGCTCCAGCCCTCTGACCATCTTAGTGGCGCTAAGTTGACAGCACATCAAGTCACTCAACCCACTGCAACGGTGTAAGGAGACTCTGAGCAGAATCCAGGCTGTGGTTGGACATTCCAGCATGACTGCATTGACTCCAAATGTAAATTTCAGCTAGGTTTTGTCTGGATGGAGGTCAGCATAATATATAATTTATCCTTTTGGAAATTCACAGGAACGTGTGACGGATTGCTGTGTATGAAACAATACATTTGTTGTGAAGGAAGATGAACAGCACTAGGTATGATGCTATCAGAATCTTTGCACCAGAAGTACTGGCCTGATAATGGCAACAATCTGTCCAATAGTTCAAAAATGCAAGAAAAAGAGAAGCTGTGTCATTTCTGTAAATCCCCCATTTCTATGAAGTCCCCATTTCTATAAAGTCCCCATTTCTATAAAGTTCACATTTCTACTGCCAACCTATAAATTCTCTGAACAACCAGCATGTGCAGAAAAATGAAACTGAAAATTATTTACTAAATAAAGGCACTACAGAATTGCTATGGTGTTGTTGCCTGGAAAGCTTTGGAGAAAAATGAAACTCCCCAGCACAATAAAGTAACAGCATTAATGAAGGCAATTTTTCCTCTGGAAAGCAAATATTACATAGACTTTCAAGACCGTAGAAAAATGTACTTGTGGTCCAATTGATGATCTGAGGAGGGCACTGAGTGCACCCTCAGTATGTTTGCAGATGACACTGAATTGGGTGAAGTGCTGATCTGCCTGGGGGTAGGAAGGCCCTACAGAGGGATCTGGACAGGCTGATCAGTGGGCTGAGGTCAATGGGATGGAGTTAAATAAGAACCAGTGCTGAGTCCTATGCTTTGGCCACAACCACCCCAGGCAGTGCTACAGGTGTGGGGCAGAATGGCTGGAAGACTGTATGGAAGATTCAGGTTGGACATTAAGAAACATTTCTTCTCCCAGAGAGTGGTCAGGCACTGGGATGGGAGGTGGTGGGGTCACCATCCCTGAAGGCGTTCAAGAAATGTTTAGATGCTGTACCGAGGGACATGGGTTAGTGGAGAAATACTGGTAGCAGGTGGACAGTTGGACTGGATGATCTTGGAGGTCTTTTGCAACCCTGGTGATTCCATGAGGAGTAAGTTCATAGTTTTTAGTGTTCACCAGTTTTTAGCAAAAAAGAGATTTGAAATGGTGTGGATTTCATTGGTGGTGGTGATCATTTTTGTCTTTTACCGTGACTGGAGGTTTTCTCCTACCTTAATTAAACTCAGAGGTGATGCTAACAAATGCTCAGTAGTAACACACAGAAAGAACATCTACAACCATGAGTAATATCTGAGATCAACACGTCTGAGATCAACACCAGCACTTCTATTTCCCTCTGTATGTTACATTTCCTGGAAGCAGCACAGTGTGTATTTCAAAAGACTGCTCTTGAAAACATCCAACGATTTGCAGTTGGTGCAGCAGTGGCTTTTTGTGAACTGAACTCATTCCTTGAACACCAGGCTTTCTCCTCGCTCCAGCAAAATCCACAGAAAGCAAACACAAGATAATTAAGATAGGGGGAGGACAAAGGCTCATTAAACACGTGATTATTTTTACAAAGCACCTTCTTGCCCCGTGGAAACAGATGGAGCACCGCGTTCTATCTCAAACACTTTCTGTGTTAAGCAGTATGATAGAGATAAAAGATCTCTTTATCTAAGATGCAAATTACATTTTTTTAATGCAAGTCAAGCTTACTTTTGTCCTTCAACTAGGACACTTTATTTTAATGAATTAAGAGATCCATCAGAGCAACTTCTGGAATAGTGACTTGCAATGCCTTTGCAGGACGAGGAGGATCGACATGCGTTGTGCATCTTGAGATGAACACAACTCATTTCTTTAGGTTTAAAAGAGCTTTTCTTCAAGCCAGCACCCATTCCAACAGGAATCCACTCACACTTGTCACTGCCACAGCAATTCGTTGTGACAGCCACTGTGTTGTGTCAGACGTGCAGAGATAGCTTCCACCAGTGTTGTGCTGTGCTTAAAGCTCTCACTTCTGAGCTTGTTTCTCAGCTCTCAGCACAGAGCTCTCTTCCTACACAGCTGTTTCCCCCTAGAACACACACCTAAAGAGACTGAGAAGTGCTCAGCTGCATTAGAATCATAGAATCATAGAATGATAGAATGGCTTGGGTTGAAAAGGACCACAATGATCACCTAGTTTTCAACTCCCTGCTATGTGCAGGGTTGTCAACCACCAGATCAGGCTGCCCAGAGCCACATCCAGCCTGGCCTTGAATGCCTCCAGGGTTGGGATATTTTAGAAGTGCCACAGTAAAATACATCTGATTTCCTAAATAAAAAGCCCTAAGAAAGGACACGTACCTTTTTCAGCTGCTGTTCCTTGAAGCACCTTACAGTCCTGGCTGGTTCCGAAATCAAGTTCTTATAGTTCTCACAGATATTGAGTCGGGATTGGGCCACCTGCATTGTGCCTTCCAGGAGTGATTTCCAAACGGAGTACATGCTCCTGCAGGAAGGAAACAGAAGCAGTGGTGGGAAGAGGACATGGAGGTCAGGCTTCATGCTGACAGTGCACTGTTTTGCGTAACACTGCATGCATTTGACAAAGGAGTGCTTTTAAAAACAAGCTAAAGCACAGTTCGTTGCGCTGACCTAGCAAATATCTGCACTTTTTGCAGGAACACTTCACCAAACGTCACAAAAACGAAGAGCTTTCACCTCCTCTCACTGCTTGTGGCAGTTATTTGTGGCCAAACCCACTGTTCCCATGGAGCAGACCCTAGAGAAAGCAGCAGCCAGAACCAGAGAGCTCAGATGCTGACAGCTTCTCGTAAGTCCATGGCCTTCTGCTTTTTGTGCTCACACATCCTGGGGCAGCTCCCCATTACCTGCCCATGATTCCTATGGGCAAAGATGCGGCCGCTGAGCTGCACTGAGTGGTGTACAGCTCAAAATCCACCACAAAAGCTCCCAATCCAATCCGAGTGCAAAGACAAAGTCCTTTACAACTGTGGTCAAATATTTAGGAGGTGCCATTCGAAGGCAGGAAGCTCTGAGCAATGAAGTTGTGTGGTTTTTGTGTTCTGAGCCAGCTTCCCTCCCAATGAACCTGAGTTAGGTGAGGACACTTCTGGCTTCCCTGCTGTACATCCCACAAACACATTGGTGCCTTTGCCTCTTCCTAAGGAGGAACCCATGTGCTTATTACTGAACCTTCAAGCTATTTCATAAAATACACATCTGTTCATTCACCAGCTTCCCAAATATTAACACCCACAGAAGGTGCACAATTATGGCTGTTATCTGGTCGTGCCATTTGTTTTTCCAATCTCCCCAAATTATCCACGTTACAAACTGTTATTTAAGGCTGTTCCAAAATTTCAGAAGAAAACAAAGCTTTCTTTTTAACATCAATGCAAACAAATTGTTTAAACGACAGAAGAGCAGCGTTTCATTGTGGGGAAAAATAATGACATAAATTGAAAAGATAAAGATGGCTGTTTGGAGATATGCAACTGTTAAATTACCTATAATCAGCTCGTTCATCAGCTTTCATTCCCAGCCAGTCCTTCTTCAAGTACTGGCTAGCCAGCTTCTGAATGCTCTGTAGAAAGAAGGAGAAACATGTTAAAATCAGAGGTGCCTAAGAAACCGTTTCTATAATGAGTAGTCTGAACTGTAAAGAAGCAATTCATGGTTAGTTTTAACAAACTGATATAACGTGCGATTATCTCAATTCTTTTTTATATTTTTAAGTCCCTCTTGAGATGTATTAATGAAGTTCTCATTGCTGTGACCCCACTGCACACTTCAGCTCCGAAAATGCCCTGTGTGTGAACACCCCATGCACAGCCAATAGCATGGGCAGCACTTCTGAGCAGCACGTGGCCAACTCAGAGCCAGGAATACTGCAAGGGAAGTGCCTGGACGTATCAGAGGTGCTGCAATGGATGCACTTCTTTAGCTCCCAGAAGCAATAAGATGAGGCTGGCTGTTTGCCCCTAGATGGAGATGGGCAGCTTTGGTTATTCCGCAGGGAATTCATGAAGCTGCTGCTCATAGAATGGAGCAACAACAGATGAGAGATCGGAGAAAGCAGTTCAGTTTTAATTATTAATGCTCATTACGCTGCTCAGTCTCTGCACTGCACTTTGCAAACCTCAAAAAAATCAATAACTTTGGAGAGCAGAAAACTGAGCTGTAACGCAGGCAGGGATGGCTGCTGTGGCACAATCCGTGCCACATTTAATGGCACAAAATTCACCATGTGGATCTATAAACCCCTTTTTGGCCACAGGAACCCAACTACTGGTGTCTGCACTGAGCAGGCACTGCTTGCACGAAGCATTGGGACCACAGGCCATGGGCACCTCCAGCAACAACCAGCTGAAGATGCTCTAATAAAATCTTCGTTTCAGTTCCATCCTTTCGGGAAGACACATAAACAAGACGTAGCACAGGAATTTGATGCTGAATGGCTCATTCCCAGCACCTTGAGTCAGCACAAGTGTGAAGGAAAATCACTGCTCTGTGTGAGCTTGTGGCCATGGGTTTCCCACTGCCCTGCCCAGTTCCCCCAGTGCTGCTCACAGCACAGCACAGCTCAGACACCCTCCATCCACTCTGAAGTTCTCCTTACAGAAAACCCTGTGAAGCACCTTAAACAGTATGGCCAGACTGCCTGCTCATCTCAGACCATGTGACCATTCATCCCTCCCTCCCTCCCTCCTTTCCTCCCTCCTTCCTTCCTTCCTTCCTTTCTTCCTTCCTTCCTTCCTCCCTCCCTCCCTCCCTCCCTTCTTCCTTCCTCCCTCCCTCCTTTCCTCCTTCCTTCCCTTCCCTTCCCTTCCCTTCCCTTCCCTTCCCTTCCCTTCCCTTCCCTTCCCTTCCCTTCCCCTGGGAGGCTGCTGGCATTTGGTCTCTTCCAATCTTCACGACCCTATGATTCTAATGCAACATCTGCTGGCAGCTGAGGACAATCTGTGCCACATTTCATGACACAAAATTCACCATGTGGATCCATAAAACCCTTTTTGGCCACAGGAACCCAACTACTGACACTGTCAGCACCGAACTGCTGTGATTACGCAAGCTTGGCTGTGCATTTCCAACCCCAAGGAACGCCCCACAGCCATCAATGGAACAGAGCAGAGGGCTGCAGCCGTGCCTGGGAGATGCTGCATCACTTAGGAATCCTTCATGAAAACTGATAAACCAAATGTTTACACTTTGCACAGAGCTGCTGTAGGCAAACGTGTGACTTTTAATGAGACCAAGTAGATTTGCTTTCTTAAACTTGATGCTGACTGTGACTTTTTTAGGATAAGATCCTCCTTGTTCCTCCCTCAATAGAGGAGCTTGTTCGGCCGCCTCAGACAAAGTGCCACTGTGGGGCTGCTGCTGGGATGCTGTGTGGCCTCTGGCCTGGCTGAGGAGCTGCCCAGTTCCACCCCAAGGTGCACACAGACAGAGGGCTGGGGGTGGTGGCAGCTCAGTGCAGGGGCAATGAAAGAAATCCAGGCAGCAGAACTGTTTGAGGATGCGTAATGCACTGCCCCATCCCATCCCCTCAGCTGCTCCCACAGCTCCATCCTACCTGTGGACACACTCCAGGCCCTCCATGTCTTTCTGGCAGTGAGGGCCCATCGCTGAGCTCAGCACTGTGCAGCAGCCCCAGCAGTGCCATACAGAGGGATGGGCACCTCCTGCTCCGCTGCCTGCACTGCTGCTGACACAGCCACGATGCTGTAGGCCTTTTGGCCATCTGGGCACACTGCTGGCTCATGCTCAGCTCCAGATCCTTTCCAGCCACTGCTCCACACCTGTAGCACTGCCTGGGGTTGCAGGACCCAACAGTGGGTCTTGCTGAACCTCATCCCACTGACCTCAGCCAGGCAATCAGCCTCTCCAGATCCCTCAGCAGGGCCTTCCTACCCCCAGGCAGATCAGCACTTGCTCCCCATCATGGTGTCATCTGTAAACGTACTGAGGGTGCCCTCAGTGCCCTTATGAGATCATCAATAAACACTCCAAAAAGCACAGGCTGCAGCACCCACAGCCACCATTCATGACCAGCTGGATGTGACTCTGTTCACCATAGAACCACAGGATGGCCTGAGTTGGAAAGGACCTCAAGGATCACAAAGCTCCAACCTCCCACCACAGACAGGGCCACCAACCTCCACATTTCAGAGCAGCCCAGGCTGCCCAGGGCCCCATCCAACCTGATCACAATGGTGACTCCTAACTCATCTGTTGCTCACCTATTTTGGACTATTTCGGAAGAGCAAATGTATAAGAATGGAAACAGAGTGGTTACCCCCCAAACCCAACTTTAACCCACCTTAGGTCAACCTTTCTCTGAGCCAGTCCCTTCTCCCCTTCTCAACACACACATGTCCCCACTACAGACCAAGTCCCTGTACATCCAACAGAGGAACAGAAGGGAAGGAGAACGGTGTAGACCCACCAACCACAGCAACAACAGCTGATGTGATGTTCTGCTTAAAGGAATTGCCATTGGAACTCTCATCTTGGCATCATGGCAGCTCCTATGGCCGTGCCCCAGCACCACGGGCATCGATGGGTATTTGTCGGTGTCATCCCATGAAGCTGGTGGTGGTGGGGTTTGGGGGAGGAACAGGAAAGGAAGAACTCTTAGAACTTTTAGAAGGAAGTTTTTGAGCCAGAGGGTGGTGAGGCAGTGGAACAGGTTGCCCAAGGAGGCTGTGGATGCCCCATCCCTGCAGGCACTCAAGGCCAGGCTGGATGTGGCTCTGGGCTGCTCGTTGGCGACCCTGCACACAGCAGGGGGTTGGAACAAGCTGATCATTGTGGTCCTTTTCAACTCAGGCCATTTTATGATTCGTTCTGTGAACTCAGGGAATATTAGCTGTAATACCAACAGATGATAGACAGCGAGAAGTGACAGCAAAGAGAAAGACGTCTCAAATTAAAAGATAATTGATAGAAGTAAGAGGCTTTTAAAAAGACACTTTAACAATGCTTTTCAGTGCAGTCCCATTATGTTTATTAGCAAAAATTAAGAGATGCTGATGACAGCTGGGCACCTAAAACCTCTTTTGAATTGCAGAGAGCAGGGCAGACTATCTGATGTAACACACAGTTTTGCACAGGACAAATTTAGTGCAGCTTTTCCAACAGCAGGGGCCCACATCACTTAGAAGCTTTCAGTATCTTTTGGTCACTGGAGCAGAATCCACCAATTCACACCTTCTAGCTTTAGCTCTACAGATAACTCTATGCTCACATATACTTAATTCAGACAAAGAAGACTTGGAGCAGTCAATACAGTCCTGATTTGCTGCAGTGACTTTTCCAAGCAGCGCTCACCGATGTGACAGAGCAGAAAGCGTTCCCCCACGTACACCCATGGCCACTCAACCATGTGTTGTGCACAGCTTTTGGGCATGGCTGTGTTGGCAAAGTAAAACCATTCAGTTTGATAACAGCTCTTCTGGCGAAACGCCCCAGGAGAGCTGCACAGCTTCACTGTGCCTCGCTGCATCTATGGAAGGATTTAGATGGCTCCGCAGCAACCAAGTTCAGAGAGCTTGGAACTGAAAGGCACTGGTGCTATTCAACACCTGCACCTGCAGGCTCCTCAATGGCAGCTACAAAAGGAACCATTTGGCTTTATTTTATATGTTTAGGCTTTATGTATTTACAAAACATCCCCTAGTGACATGATGGCAAGGCGTGTTGAAGATAGAGAGGGCTGGAGCAGCTCTCCTATGGGGAAAGGATGAGGGAACTGGGCTTGTTTAACTTGGAGAAGAGAAGGCTGCAGGGAGACCTCATTGTGGCCTTCAGTACTTGAAGGGAGTGGATAAACAGGAGGGGAACGGCTGTTTGTGAGGGTGGATGGTGACAGGACAAGGGGGAATGGCTTTAAAGTGAGACAGGGGAGGTGTAGGTTGGATATGAGGAGGAAGTTTTTGAGCCAGAGGGTGGTGAGGCAGTGGAGCAGGTTGACCAAGGAGATTCCCCCTCTACTCTGCTCTTGTGAGGCCCCATCTGCAGCACTGCGCCTACGTCTGGAGCCCCCAGTACAAGAAAGACAGGGAGCTGTTGGAGAGGGTCCAGAGGAGCCACAAAGATGATCAGAGGGCTGCAGCACCTCCACTACAAAGACAGGCTGAGGGAGCTGGGCTTGTTCAGCATGGAGAACAGAAGGCTGCGGGGTGAATCATTGCAGCTTTCCAGGACCTAAAGGGAGCCTACAAACAGGAAGGGAGTCAGCTCTTGGAAAGGGGAGATGACAGCAGGACAAGGGGAAATGGTTTGAAGTTGAGGGAGGGCAGACTGAGGTTGGATGTGAGGGGGAAGTTGTTTGCTGTGAGAGTGGTGAGGTGCTGGAACAGCTGCCCAGAGAGGCTGTGGATGCCCCGTCCATCCCTGGAGGTGTTCAAGGCCAGGTTGGATGGGGCCCTGGGCAGCCTGGGCTGCTCTGAAATGTGGAGGTTGGTGGCCCTGCCTGTGGTGGGGATTGGAGCTTCGTGATCCTTGAGGTCCCTTCGAACCCAGGCCATTCTGTGATTCTGTGATTCTGGATGCCCCATCCCTGCAGGCATTCAAGGCCAG